TCGATATTCCGCTGGGCGATAAGTTAGTTTCCGCGTGGAGGTGAGGAGCCGGAAGGAGAAGGGGGCCAAGGAAGGGAACACCGGCGGCAGGAGGGAGGGAGTCAAGCAACCAGAACAACCACTTTGCCAACCATCTGGTTGCTCGGGGAGTTGGCGCGTGTCTGAGGAGTTTGGATGCATTCCTTAGTCCTCCAGGGGTGAGCACAGTTTGTAGCGAGATAGTCGCCTTGGGAAGGCAATACAAGGAGCGGTCTTCCATTCAGGGTAGAGGTCCGTCTATTCCCGTATGATCCGTTTGGACCCAGAGCAGAGGATGTTCCCAGACAAGTTACCTTTCAGGTGGAGGTGGAAGGAACTGATTCCGGAGTTTGTTTGTGTTTTTTTTAATGCGCGAAGCATGTGCTCGGCTATCGGGCCTTCCCCAGCCGGTAGTCGTTAAGGTGCAGAAGTGGAATTGTCACAGCAGGCCGGTAATTTCTTTTTAATTATAACAGCTGGCTGAAGGTAAAGTTTTGTGGTTTGCGGCCTGATCGCTGGGTGGGGGGCGGTTCCACGTCTGTCTCTGCACACATTTAGGTTTTCTCAGCTTGCTCATGGTGGCAGCGCATGTACTGCTCGACGTCTGGCGTTCGGATTCAGGTACGAAACTGCCCGCAGGTCTGTGGAAGCCACGCATCAACTTCTGTCTTTAAACTGTAGGTGGGGATGTCCCTTCAGAAGGAGAAAACAGGAAGCACCCCTCTGGCCTGTCGTGTTCACCTGTGGCCAGGACTGATGCAAGTGTTAAGGGGGGCAGAGGCAAAAGTAGCATCCTCCCCCACACACGCACACACACTGGCTATTTAAAAGAAGAAGAAGAGAGAAGAGATTGGATTTCTACCCCGCCCTTCACTACCCAGAGGAGTCTCAGAGTGGCTCACAAACTCCTTTCCCTTCCCCTCCCCACAACAGACACCCTGTGAGGCAGGTGGGGCTGAGAGAGCTCTTGACAGAAACTGCTCTTTTTCAAGAACAGCTCTTATCAGAACTAAGGCTTCCCAAGGTCATCCAGCCAGGTGCAAGTGGAGGAGGAGTGGGGAATCCCGGTTCTCCCGGATTAGAGTCCGCGCACTACACCAAACTGACAAAATGGCTCAGAATTCCATTGGGAAGTTCTCTGCAAAATCTTAGTTCTGTCAGAGCTGTTCTCTCAAGAGCAGTCCTCGAAAGAGCTCTCTCAGGCCCACCTACCTCACAGGGTGTCTGATGTGGGGAGGGGAAGGGAAAGGAGTCTGTAAGCCACTCTGAGACTCCGAGTGAAGGGCGGGGTAGAAATCCAATCTCCTCTTATAGAATCATAGACTCATAGAATGAGAGTTGGAAGGGACCTTGCAGGTCATCTAGTCCAACCCCCTGCACTCTTCTTCTTCTTCTTCTTCTTGAAATAATCTGGAAGAAGGGAGGACACGATTCGTGTGGGAAAGAGCCACACAAGAGTTTCCACTCGCACAGACGCAGTGTTCTTTCTCTCATGCTCTCCTGGACTGTCAGGAGGAGCAGAGTGTATCAAAAATCATTCAAAACAAGCCTTTTAAATATATCCTTCCTTACTACATTAAGTTGAAATGTGGTGCTGGAGGAGAGTTTTACAGATACCATGGACCGCCAGAGAGGCAGATCAGTGGGCTCTAGGCCAAAACCAGCCTGAACTTTCCCTAGAAGCTAAAATGGCGAAACTGAGGCTGTTGTACTTTGGTCATATCGTGAGAACCCAAGACTCACTCGCAAAGATAATAATGCTAGGAAAAGCTGAAGGCAGAAGGAAATTTGGAGCAGAGGTCCCTCAGTGGCTATTAGCCACAAGGTCTAGATAGGAACTCTCAGTCTGGGGCAAGCGATGCTCTGTATTCTTGGTGCTTGGGGGGGGGGCAACAGTGGGAGGGCTTCTAGTGTCCCGGCCCCACTGCTGGACCTCCCGATGGCCCCTGGTATTTCTGGCCACTGTGTGACACAGAGTGTTCGACTGGATGGGCCTTTGGCTTGATCCAACATTGGCGTCTCTTATGTTCTTATATGGAGCAGAGGTCCATCGGTGGCTATTAGCCACAAGGTATAGATAGGAACTCTCAGGCTGGGGCAAGTGATGCTCTGTCTTCTTGGTGCTGGGGGGGGGCAAAAGTGGGAGGGCTTCTAATGTCCTGGCCGGACTGCTGGACCTCCTGATGGCACCTGGTGTTTCTGGCCACTGTGTGACACAGAGTGTTGGACTGGATGGTCCTTTGGCCTGATCCAACATGGGCTTCTCTTGTGTTTTCTTATGTCCTTAAATGAGGAAGGCCCCACATGACATGGATGGACTCCATCAAGGAAGCCAGGAGGGCCCTCCGTTTGCCAGATCTGAGCAGGGCTGTAAATGATAAGGATATTTTGGAGGTCATTAATTCATAGGGTCACGATAAGTCGGAAGCAGCTTGACAACACTTCACACACACACACACACACGTCATATTTGGTGTGGGGGGGATGTGTGACCCGAGGCACACTTTGCATTGCGGAAGAGGGTGTGGTGGAGGCTCAGAATCCCGAATAGGGAACTGGCGATGACCCCCCCCTGTGTTCTCTCTGGCTCTCTCCTTCCAGATGCCCGTCTGCTCCTATTTCCTGAAAGGGATCTGCAGCAACAGCGATTGTCCGTACAGCCATGTCTACGTCTCCAGGAAAGCAGAAGTGTGCCCGGACTTCCTCAAGGGCTACTGTCCGCTGGGAGAGAAGGTAAGGGCGAGGCAGCCTTCAACATTAAGACAAGTATGCCGTGCCAATGCGACTGACGATTTGATTGATGGATTGGCGTAGTTTGTAGGACACCTTTCTCATGGGGACTCAAGGGGGATTACAGAGATTAAGTTCATGCTCTCAACAGGAGGGGGCATTCGCTAAGCAATTCAGTAGGGTTAGGAATGCAGAAATCTCACAACAGAGCCAAAGCAAAGCATGACTGTAATGATTCCGTTTCTGGTGTGTGTTTCTTTAAATGTTTAGTGTGACTGCAGTAATGAAAGGAGAGTGATAGAGGGAGACAAGTGTGATGTGATTGGCTGATGACTGAGAGTGTGGGAGGAGGGGTGTCTCTGAGGTGATTCTGTGTTTTGGAAGACACAAGTGTGGAGAGTTTTTGTGAGGGTCTGTGTGACAGAGGAAGCAGTGGGAGTTTAGTTTAGCCTGTGTAACTATAAGAGAGAAAGTTCAGCCTGTGTGGCTATATGAGAGAGAGAGTTCAGCCTGTGTGGCTATATATGAGCAAGAGAGTTCTGCCTGTGTGGCTGTATATGAGCAAGAGAGTTCAGCCTGTGTGGCTATATATGAGCAATAGTGTTCAGCCTGTGTGGCTATATATGAGCAAGAGAGTTCAGCCTGTGTGGCTATATATGAGCAAAAGAGTTCAGCCTGTGTGGCTATATATGAAAGAGAAAGATAAGCCTGTCAGAGTTGAGTTTTGGTATCTGAGAGACTGTGTGTGATGCCAAGCCTTGTCAGTTATATTTTCTCTCCTCAAGAACAGTTCAAAAATACCCAGAAACCTACTTTGTTCTTTTATAAATAAATCATTATTTGTTTAAATTTATCCCAGCAATCAGAACAGTCCTTCCTCAGGGCCACATAGTCCTCTGAAGCGCCCAGACTCTGGGTCATTCTACCAAAATAGAGAGAGTTGGAATTTTAATTCCTGGTGGCCGCAGAAATCTACTAATTTCATATACACAGAGTGTGTTTTAAAGGAGAAACAGTCTCCCCAATAAGCAAGGACGCCACAATGACTATTCACATGACATTATTGTTGTTGTTGTTGTTATTATTATTTTCAGTTTATATCCCACCTTGCCAGGGAACTGGCTCAAGGCGGTTTACAAACATTAGATGCAATAAAACAGTAAATACAATAAAATACAATAAAATACACATAAACAACCTACATAACATCGAAGCAGAAATTACATAGTACAATCATACAGCAACAGATAGTATGTACTGTAAATGGTAATATACTCCACAGTCCCTATCCCATTATTATTATTATTGGGGGGGAGGGTTGTATTTGTGTGTGTGTGCACCTGGACGTCATGGCGACCTCTAGTAACTGACCGCTACTGGGGTCCCGGAGGATATTCAGAGAGGTGGCTGAATAAAGCCTGCCCCCACCTCCCGACTGCTGGTATTCCAAGGAGGTCTCCCACCCAAGTATTTGCCAGAGTCAACTCTACTTCCAAGATCTGACGAGATCAGGCTTGCCTGGGCTACCCTGCTCAGGGACGTCCCTATCCCACTATT